TTTTAAAGTAGACATTAGCAAGTTTTTGAACTACAAACTGTATGCCTTACAAAGTATTCGTTATTTAATCACTGTTAAAGCATATAATCCACATATAATGTTTATGGTTATTTAAATTAATGTCCATTTCATTTTGAGAGTTTGTGTTATGGATTTATGAGATTTGAGAGGTGTACAAAGGAGCAAATTTATTTCCTAATGTTTCAAATTTTAAAGTTTATTCATATCTAAGCCTCAATCACAGGAAGAAAGAGTGAATTAAACGTGTCTTTAAATGACAATTTAAACTGGTTACTTCTTCAAAGAAGCTTAGGAGTTTATAAAGTAACTTAAGCCACTCATGCTAGATGCAAATTTTTTGTCCATTGTCATTGACAGTGTCTTAAATTTGTTCATTATTCTTCTGGTGGGACTATTGGTGAATATGGTGCTTGTTTATTAAATTAATTTTATCTAGGCTATTCAATCCTTTCTAATTTCTAAACAGAGGTTACTTATGAATGCCACACCATCAGCCTTATATCTTTGGTATAATTGATCTTTACTAATAAAATTCAAAGTATGGATTTATGTTAGTAATTTGGGTGCTAAGATTAGATGGTCTTTCATCAAATTGTTTAGATTTTCAGGAGGTGAGTGCTCTCACAGGAAAAAAATTTTATGTGTGCTAGACAAGAAGTTTAACTCCGATAAGATCAGTCTTAAGTGTAAGAGTTTCTCCTTTTGCTGTTAGAAACAACATATTTTATAGGATCTTATCCTGTCCAATGACAGTGTGTTAAACAAACAAACAAACCAAGCAAAACAAACAAAACAAACAAAACCAACAAAAACCCCTTACACTGAGTTATGACCCTCTTTCAGTTTTTATGACCCTGTATAGTAATGAGAAATTTTCCATAACACCCCTTGTCAGACAAATCAAGGGTGAGTCATTAGCTCCAACTTAACGTATAAGGGTATCTGAGGTGACAACACATAAGAAAGGGACAAGAGAACTGTAAGAATCCCTGAGAATAGCAAAACCAAGTGGAAATAAAAACTTTTGTCCTGGAGTATATGCTTGGCAGTTTATAATTCCAAAGAGCACGGCCCTGGGTACAGGGTAAATCTAAAAGTATGGCTTTTATGCTGCACAGTATGTACATTAAAAAGTTAGCTAAATTTTATCAGAACCTTGCAAGAGTTCTGCTCTAATCCTAGCTTTTTTTTACCCTGTTTTTAATCCTGTTAATTAGAACTTGCATATTTCCGAGTAACTGAATTCCAGGTTATTAAATCTAATGCCAAACTTGCACTGTTCATAAAATTCTCTGTAATATTAGTTCTTCTTAGAGGTTTTAATATAAATAAAATTCTTGCCAGATGTTTTTGGAAGAGAGAAAATACCAATACTTGTCACATCTGTGTCCTTCACAGTGTTTTTTACAGACATTCATTTGCAGATAGTAGTTGGATCAGCTACTTTATACCTTATTCAGATTATGGAAATGCAGGGATTACCACAGAGGTTCTTGCTTAGTCAAAAACTGGGTCTTGTGAGAAGTGAACAATTGTATATCTTTTAAAACTGAGTCCATTCCTACCTGTTGTATGTTCTTTATTTGTTCTTTGTAGGACTGGACTGATAATTAAATGATGCCTAACAAAATCAAAGAAAACAAATTACTCCAGTATCAGAAGTCTGGTTGTATTAAATTGTTATGCAAACAAATTAATAGCGATACAGAATCTTATCATTATTGTGAATATGTCATTTGCTGATATATGTGTAATGTATTTCTTTTTTACATACCAGAGATTGCTTATAAAGAGTAAGTAGATGATCATAATCAAAACAATGATAAATCTCCCACTAATATCTGCTACTTTCATTCAAAGGCACCCTGAAGCACTTTGCAGACTGTTATATATAGGAAAAGAAATTAGGAATAGAAAATTACACTGAGATTTCATCAATATCTCCTGGTAATAATTACAGGATTTGATCAGATTCATTCATCTCCCATTTGGCTATTAATAGGAATATGACACACTCTGAATTCAATCTTTATTCTCTTGAGGGGATTTTCTTTGGTGAGGAAAAACTTCAGAGACTTTCTCCACCCTCTTAATGTGCAAAGTCTTTAAATACCGGCAGAAGCATTATCACTTGCAGGAATTGAGTGTTCCAGCTGTGATTATTTCTAAGTGTGTAGTACAAAGTCAAGCATATTAACCAGTCTTTGGTTTAAAACTTTTTTGACTTTGTGAACACTGATTAGTATGTCCAGAGGAACTACAAGTACCTTAGAAAAACATTACAGAGCCGTTCAGTCTCTGAATCTGTTTGTCTTATTGGTGCATGTGTGGGCCAAAAATTATCATTATCCCACTTTTATTAAGAGGGAAAGAAGGTTCTGCTGGAGAAAAGAAAATCCATTTCTCTCAACTCTTAGTCCAGTAACCCAGCCCCCAGTAGTTTCACTGCAGGGTAGAATGCATTCACTACAATGATGAGACAAGTAAGGAATTACCAGAAAATAAGGCTATTTCTGAAAAGAACTCTGACATTTAGTTTTATTGTCATGGCAACAGTTTTAAAGTGACCATATCACTAAGTGCATAAATAAAATATTAAAATCAGTAGAAACATGTTCAGTAAAGAGGAAGAAAATTGTTAGTGCTCCTTTTTATTTTTCCTTCAAAGAAGGTTAAAGCTATTTGTGACAGGAAAGGTGCTGCCCTTTAACATCCTTATTTGGAGCTGAAATATTAACTCTTTTTGTGAGAAAGGAAAGAAGGAATAGAATTGCCAAGAGTTTTCTTTTTACCATTCTTTGAAGAATTCCTTATTTTAAATAGATGTGCCCAACTTTAAAGCATTTTTTGAAAGAGTAAAAATCAGCAGAGAAAGCCAGTCTCAGAGGAAAACCTCAGAAAGAGTAAAGTGATGACCTACATTTATCCTCTATTAGAAGGGAGTGGGTCCCATGGATACAGTCTTTAACAGTGATGAAGATTAGGTCTACATACCTGGCTTTGTTATTCACCTTTTTCTTTCCTAAATGGAAAGTCCTTTAATCTTTCTTTTCTTACATTGCTTGTCTCCAAATTGATGAAAAGGATACCTTTGTAAAGGGCATGGCAATCTGTGGATGAAAAGCTCTGTGCTACAAGCTAGCAGAGTCTGCAGGAGCAGCCTATGAGGCTGCTCCTCTCCATTTTCCTTCCATTCTAGCAATCTCCTGTAGCAACCTCACCATAATAGCACCTGGTATAGCTGTGTCCAACCAAAGAGGGTTAATGACCTCAGCAATATAAAGGGTCATATAACACGAAGGAGAAAGGCAGGTTCTCTGAAGAAGAACATACAGATTAAGGAAAACAGTCATCTGCTATTCGAAAAACTCTAGTAATTAAATGTCCAGTTACTCTCTTCATCACAGAGAACAAACACGTGTTTCAATGAACTGTTGTTTGAAAATATGATGCTTATTTTCTTAACTACTTTATTCTTGCTTCTTTTGAAAAGAATATTGTGCCTTCCATCCCTTCAGATGGACCTAGTAAGGACTGGAGACACTACAGGAAAACACTATTGTGCTACTGGAAGACTCTTAAGCATTACTACAGATCATGCAGATCCCTGCTGTGCTGCCCATTTATTAGCAACATAATGAGTCATATCTTGGAGTCATCCAAGTTAGAGATGAAACAGACTTTCATTTTACTGAAATCATTACAAGTTCCTGGTTATGGTCATCCTGTGTGGTTCAGTTAGCTTTTCCAGATCCTGAATTCATCCTTCATCTCATGGTATTTTTGAACAAAGGAATGGATTTTTTTAGATCAAAAAGTTGCTTACTTTAGATACCCAATTACATGGCAGGAAAAAGCTAAAAAGAAAGAGGGAGGGGAGGGAAAGAGATAAATAGACAGATTTCTTTTTCTCCCTATTGTTTTTTTGTGTGTCAAAAACTATAGTCCTAACACTAAGTATGGGGCATTTTTTCCTGTGTGAATAGTTTAGCTTCCTATGTGTGTGTTTTTCATCAGAAAAACCAAAACCTAAAAAAAACCCAAAACCCAGCCCAAACAAAACAAAACAAAACCCCTAAACCAACAACTACAAGGAGAAAAAAAAAAAAAAAAAAAAAGAAACAACCTAAACCACCAAAAAAACCAAAAACCAACCAGCTGAGAAATAAAGTACCAAATTAAATTTGGTTTATTTCATTTTCTGTTCAGAAGAAACAGCACTTAACAAGCCAGCTGGATTCAGCTCTTGAAATAATAAAGAAAAAATGATATAATGGTACACAGTGATTCGGTCTAGGCATGGAAAGATACTAGGTGATTTGCTGCAGTTGAAATGAGGAGCTTTAAGGCATGACTGTAAATTGAATTCTAGTGATCTTGCTAACTAAAATGGGGTTTGAACTGTATACTTACAGTTAGATTCACAAGTTTAGATTTTTTTAATTTAGGCACTTACTGTTAGAAATTACAGGACCTAGATAAGAAACCTTTTGAGATAATTAATCTTTAATTTCTCTTTTTTTTTTACATAATAGTAGAAATGTTAAATATTAAGGAAGCACTGTTTGCTTGATATGTAGAAGTTGTATTGTTAGGATAGTAACTCACAGGAACTAGATTAAAGCAGATACACTTCTAGGATGCATAAGGATTTTTCTCTGTCTCAGAAGTCAAGCAGATCCTCAGCAAAGTGATCAAGTACTCATCCCACCCCAGCTGAGTTCAGGATTGGCCAGAAAGCAAGCAGCTACTCTGAGTGTGTTCCTGGTAGCTGCTATCCATCTTTTTTCCAGTGAGCAGGCAGTGTTACTGGTCAAACTGACGTAATTTGAGATGGGTTTTTAGAGAGTAACGTTGTACTGATGTGATTGCTGTGTACCTATTCTTTTGGTGCTTAGACTGGTGAACAATAATAATGATCAAGGAAAATAATTTAATACATTTCACCATGGCTTTCTTTTTCTCTCTGTGTAATTCAGGAGAAAAGACACTGGGATGTTGTCATACAAAGAGCACCTACCAGTGAGTCAGGTAGTGGTTGGAGACGTTGACCGGCCTGGGTCTGAAGCCAAGGTGTCTGTGGGTCCCGTGCGCTGTCAAGGAGATCGTAAGTTGTCTGAATTTCTTCCACTTCCTCCTGGGTAGAAACTAATTTGGATAGTGGCAACTTTGTAGACACCCTATGTGAATTTAGAGAAGTGGCTGTCTACTCAAGAGATCTTTTTCTATGAAAGCATGATGTGATTTGAGAAATGTTGTCAATGAAAATATGCATATAATGGCTTATCTTTGCATTTAAAATATTTATATTTTTGCAGTAGTCTCTGATTTCCAGACTGAGTGCTGAGAGGAGATGCATATTCTCCGGTCTGACCAGCAGGTGATAGAGTAAATCAGTATAATGGATAAATTTCCACTTCACACACACAAAAAAAAGTTTAGAGGCAGTGAGAAGGATTGTACTTTTCCTTCAATCTGTTTTATATTTCAGGAGCTGAAATTCACCATCAAAGGCAGAGCAACAGCTTAAGGCCCTTCTAAATCACACTTCAAAAATTTAAGCTCTGTGCAATTGGCACACGTTATATTTGTCCTCTGTGTTGAAGGTCATTCTATTACAGGAGGTGCAGAAAGGCAAGTTGCCTCGTTTAATTTAAAATAACTAATATTTGCATGGTCCATAAAGAATACAAAACCCACCTGCAGATGCTGGTAAAGGGTACTATAAATCAGCCTATAAGATTGCAGTGATGGAAATACTGAATGGGTTGGCATAATACTTGCAGGTTGGTTAGAACAACCTGGTGTTAAGCAGCATCTATGCTGCACAGCAGGGATGAGTATGGTTGTCCTTCCTATTCTACCCTTTTACAGATACATGTTTTCTATCTGCACGTTTCTAAGTACTTTGCAAAGGAGGTCAGTATCATTATCTCTGCCTTAAGCTAAAGTAATTAATCCCAACTGAGAGGAAATCACATACTCAGAGTCATCCTGCAGGACAAGTACAAATGACAGCTTTCTGTGTCCCAGTCCAGTGCCTCAAAACCTTAGGCCATTGCTCAGTGATAGAACTGAATGTGCTTTGCCTCTTTTTTTGTTTATGGTCTTTCTGGGCTGTGTAAATGATCCTTCCAGCTTTTGTTTATGAATCAGATGCCTAATGAGCAGAAACTAATATCATAGGATGTTTGCAAGCTTTCACATAATCTATTTGTTGCTTATTATTTAGAGTATGTGGCTAATCACAGGTCAGTTTGTGTTTGTCTTAGCTATGTTTGATAAACATAGGCTCTTACAACTGATGACAAAGAAATAATAAATAACATCTTTCTTGCACCTATATTCGTCATATTCTGAATCTGAGTGCTTCCAGAAATATCAGTCTCTAAAGTGTGAGCCATTTCTAAATATTAGTACAAATGAAACCTCGTTTGAGCAGGCAATAGCCTTTATTAGAGTGTGACTGTGTGACACAGCCATTTGGAAAACTTGAAGTGGTGTATTCCTAACATCCAGATTAATTTAGTTTTCTCTGTGAACTTTACAGAAATTATTTGTAGTCTCAAAAAAACTTTGCCTATGAATAAATTTGCATTTACTTCCGAGACCATATATTATTGTCAAAAGGCTGGTATAAGTTTTCTCACAGGAGATAATATAAACCCCAGTCCTTTGAAGTTAATAAAAGCCCCCATGTTATATTCCCAGTGCTTTTCCTAAGCATTTCAGTTTGTATTCTTTCTTGAAAATATATAACAGCTCCTGTATCCCTAACTACTATTGTCTTGCCTTTTGGAAAACAATGTTTCTGCCCTGGGGAAGTTTCCATAATTTAAAACTGTACATTTGTTCTAAATTGGAGGAAAGATCCAAAGTGCTTAATTTCTGGGAAAGCATTTAAAAAAAAAAAAAAAAACAAAAAAAAAAAACCAACTAAACAAACACCACAAACCAACCGATTAATTTTTCCATGTATTTACATGCGTCAAAATCAACATTTTTAGTACTAGGTATGTTGAGTCTTGCAGCAGTTCAAACAGTTCATATGTTCAGTTCAGTTGCATATGTAAATCAAATTCAGTTACAGTAATGAAGACTGGCAAAGAAATGCAGATTTTTGGTCTGCTTGGAAAGTAGGTGGAAAAGGTAAGAGTGCCTAACCAGTCAAACCAAAATTTACCTTTTTTGAACAATTTCTCATTGTGGTCATAGAATCTGACAGTACTGTGACAACTTCCATCACAGTAAGTGGGGTCTTGGATGAAATATGCAAGATGTCTCTTTCCCGTTTTCTGTTTTAGTGCTGAGGAATGCTTTCTAAGTATCTAATGATTTTTCTTAGTGATTTACCGGGAAAGCAGACTTATCCAATTTTATGAAGAACGGGTGTATAACCAGGATATGGATTTAGTGGGTTTTTTGGGCACTGTATTGTGATAATCCAAAGATCAAGCAGAGATTTTGAGCAAATGTCAGGTCTACCCAAACTTAAAGCAAAGCTGTCCTTCCTGACCACTACTGTGTGAGCATTGTACTTACAGAATGGCAGTGGTACTTTATCAGCAGAGTCACAAGATCCTCTAAACTTGGACTGGAATTAAAAGTGTAAGCAGTGAAAACCAGTCCTGAGACTCCATAGTAATACCGGATAAGGAAGGGAACTACTCTTGTTTTCCCTCAAATGAATGTGTTCTCTGTAGGATCTAGAAAAAAAAGCCAACATAGTACCACTAATTAATCATCTTTACTCTTCCTGTAACTTAGAGACACTGATTAAAATACCTTTACAGAACTATTACAGTTGTCCTAATACTTATGCAATAGGATCTGGACTCCTCAGCCCCACTGCATTTAACCTCGGCCAACCAGTAATAGAAAGACCTTGTCCATCTCTTTATGTTATTCCACTGTAATGCAAAGGGGCACCTTGAGCCTTCTCCCTTTAGAGAAAGACACAAGTATATTGAGGGTTTTTTCCTGTCTAAGCTCAGCCTGAGGTGGTAGATGTAGGCTGCAAAAATAGATTTGGTAATTTCTTTTGAAACCAAACTAAAGAGCTTAGCTTACTATGTTTGGGCTATTGTTACAGAGATTTCATCAATAATCATATTGAATCAAAATTACTTTTGTGACTTCTGGCACCTTCTCAAGATTTTTTTTTTCATTCCCCCTAGGAAAATACCAGTGTTCACAAAGCTCCTATATTTGTAACCTGCTAAGAGTATCCTTTTTCCAAGGACTTCCAAAGATTTTGATTCAAGTCTGCTCTTTATAAGCCCGGAGGGGAATAGACTGACTATTCTGCTCTAGATTTGTTTTTCTCCTTGAGTCTATTTTCCTTTTGTCCTATTTCCACTATAACAAAGACAGAATTTGAGGGGGAGATGTTTTTTGCACTGCTCAGATTTATGGTTTTTTTCCGTCTCCTCTGCTGTACAGTTTTTATCCTCCCAGTAAGACTTTGATTTCTGGGCCATGAATCATTTTTTTGTGTTTCACTTCTATTATCTTTAATCTTCAAAATGTGGAGGAAGAAGCAGCTGCATTGACTCTGGTTCTTTCTAAGCTAGGTTTTCATGAAGACCTGTATCAGCAGTGCTCATGTAGAATCTTCAGTGACAGACAAAAACCGTCTGACAGATGACAGACATTCAGGAACAAATGAAAACTCAGTTCTTATATCAGTGCATGGATTTTGTTTGTGCATGTGTGCCTATGACTCTGTGTGTGTGTGTGTGTTCTCAGGGGAAATACACCTCAAGTTTTTTTATTCAGTGATATTGACCACAGCTCATCATTACTGCTTTCATTACTTGGTGCTTTGTTTCTTTCACTTCTAAATATGACTTCTGGCTTTACTCTTGTACTTCCTTTTAGAATGTTCTATCTGAGTTGGCTTATTTATTCAGACAGTGGTTCAGACCTGAGCATTTTTTGTGACTCTGGGTTTGTATTAAAACCACTCTGTAGTTATCTAATCCAGACAGACACTGGCAGGGTCAGTGCTTACAGGCAGGTATCCTTGGTAAGGTGTAGTTTTGTATTCCTTAAGTACTTCTTATGCATCACATGTGCAGGTTGGTGACTCGGAATTGTTGCTTGTAGTGAAAATAAATTTACTGTTTCATGTGCATGCTCAGTCCATTTTCACTCTACTGTAAATTAAGGACACTTTCAACATCCTGAGCTTGTTTTTCAGTGGTACCACCTGAGTTTCAGGAAAAAATAGCATAGCCTTACAGTGCAATTTGCAGTGATATATTAAACGTATGAACAAGGTCAATTCTCTAGCAGGATATGCAATGCGTTGACTCAGTCAGATCTGCGGTGATGTTATTGTTACATACATAGGTAAGCCGGAGAGTATCCCAGAAAACAAACAAAAAAAACCAAACCTATTTGAACTATTAGAAGATCCAACTAGAATTTCAGTAGAAACTATTTACTCCTACTGTATCTTAGACAACATTTTAGTAATATAGTGACTCAACTTACAGGGTACTGGAAGTGGAAACTTTGTATCAAATGAAAATTAAAATCAATGAAACCCCATACCAAAAACCAAAACCTGAGTGCTTGCAGAAAAATGCAAAAATTTGGGGTTTGAAACTTCTGAAGCAATGATTCCACAAGATGCTTGTGAATTGGGACTGCATATCTGAAATCTAGGTAATTCCTATTTGAGATGTTAATTACTCCTCTGTCACTCAGGTTAGAAAACCAATTAAAATCTCTGCATTGTTCTACATTTCCCTACTTTTTTGCTTGCATTGCTAGATATATCTATACACTTTTATGTTTTTAATTTCTTATGTCTTTCAAATCAATTGTGATGAGTTCATTAGGGTAAATACAGATCAAAACTTGATTGATGTAAAAGTTTAATCTTTCCCCCCAGTAACTGTAACTGCCTTCAATACACATGAACATTTGTCTGCTGAATTTCCACATCTATTACACCAACATATCTTTATGTGCTGCACTGGATTGTACATTGTGCAATTCAAGTGGAATACAGATTCATCCAAAGAACATTAAGATATTGTGCTTACTACTGTGATAATCACAGTCATTCATTTCAGTGCTACCAGAAAAACAGGGGAG